GTTGAAGGACTGCGTGGAATTTCATTTCCGGGTTTTTCTCAGAAAGAAGACTTTCGTGGTTCTGTTGTTGAAGATATTCCACTGTGTTCATGGTGCCCGCTGCGCATTTGATCCTTTTTTTCCAAAAGAAACTTGGAACGAGCGACGCATGCGCAGATTATCTCGCAGTTCAGTCCGTGCAGTCACGCCTCTGTTCGTTAATTAATCCATGCATGTCTGATAACAGCTGGAAACGGACTCAAACCGGCCACTCGTTTATGATTTTCTAAAGTATTTATAGTGCGTGCTGTCATTTTGACAGACACTTGAAGTGATACCTTTCTTATCAACTTTTTTTTATGTAAGAAAGCTTCATTTAAAGGTTTTCTGTGCAATATAACGGAGTGTACAAGACCTTTTAACACAAAAAACCTACAATAGATCTTATTCAGAGGTCTTCTCGGGTATATATTCTTTTGACTGTGCTATACAAATAAATAAACTTGCCTTGACTGCTTCTTTGGGATACCTGCCTCCATCCCACTCCTCTGTTACACAAACCCTCTGCATGTCCTCCTACACTACATCCATGAACCCCCTCTGAGTTCTTCCTTTTTTCCCCTCCTGCCTGGCAGCTCTATCCTCATCCTCAAACATCTTACCTCTCTCACTCAACTCACTCATCTCCATATCTTATCCTTCCTCATCACTCAACAAAAATCCAAGCATCTTTCTCCTGTCTCCCAGCCATGCGTCACATGAGGTCTCACTACCATCTTGTAAATCATACGTATGAACTATTTCTGAGAGACAAATAACACCAGGATCCTTTTCTAAGTAGCTGACAGCTGTAACTGTGCAGGGGCGGGTCTAGCAAAGTTTTGCCAGGGGGCCAGGTAAGGCATTAACAGGGAAAGGAAGGCACAAAGAAATACTTATCTTTCTTATTCTGTCTAGCTTTTTATTAAATAATTATCTGAATCTTACAACCAAAGTTTTCATCTGATGTAAAATGTATAGAAATCATACATATACCAACCGAAATGCTATTTCACCCCAAGCCCCCCATGGTGTATTTATAAGAATCTAAAAATATATATCTCCAAGAGATATAAAATTACGAATTACAAATAAATAATGACTCGCCAAATTTCAGTAAAATTGGGAGATAAAACGGCACTACTACTAACCATCGGCAGAGCGGGGGGGTGGCTTACTGAGCTTAAGCCTGGGTTGTTTTTTTCAGACTCAACACGGGAAACCTCACCCCTGTCAAAGGATTGACAGATTGGTTCTTTTGTAATTTGTTTCATAGTGAGATGCCTGAATGACAACTGTATAAAACAAAAAAAACTACACACAATATTCATAGCGCACAGTCGTAAATCCCCCTAATTTTGGTATGATCCAAGCTCAGGCACTAGGTGACTAAGCACAGCACTCATGCAAGAGTTGCTCATGCAGTATTAACATTATTATAAAATTATAGAAAAATCTCCAGAAACTCTTAATTACAGCTGTTTATGAGAAACGTTCTTAGAAGTTATCATGTGCTGTTTTAGAAAAAACCTTGATACCAGAATAATCTTGCATGAAAGGAAGGTGCTATCTTTATATACATTGTCAAGTTGAGCTTTTTTCAATTAGGAAGAACTTTGAAAAGCATTTTCTAGATTTCTCCTTCCTTCAGGTAGCTGTGTGTGCCACTTCAAAGCTTCAGTTTGCTTTTGTTGAAGTAGTTAATTTCACATTTTGATTTATCCTGTGGATCATTATCCTGTTGTAGAAGCTGGTGCCTTTTCAATTTTAGTGACTTGGGTGACTGCAGGACATTGGACCTAGAGTTTCTGTTAGAGAGAGAGAGAGACAGAGAGAGAGACTTCAGGGTATGTGTGTGTGTGTTAGTGGTAAACGGCTGTTGTTCACACTAGTTTTGGGAGCAGCTTAAATATTATTTAAAGTGGCAGTGGATATAAAGTCTTTGTCTATATTACAATAAAATATTAGCTGTTTGTCAAAAAGTAATAATTATGTAATATTTGTCTAATGTTATGAAGCAACTTGTCTGTAACTGAATCACTTTTCTGATTTTCTCTTTTTCAAAACCTTGAAGTAACAAGATTAAAAGTAAACTTAAAGTCAAATAATAAAGTCTGTAGCCTGCTACATATATTTACACAGATTTTGTTTTTCATTGTTAGACTAAATTATCAATGCTTTCTGGTCAGGTCCCTGTTTTTGTAAAAGTGCTGTTATTCACCCACTGTTAAAAAAAAAAAACCCAAACTTGATGCTTCTCTGCTTATCAACTACAGACCAATCTCAAAATTACCATTTATTGCCAAGATTTTACACAGTAAATTTCCCAGTGTTAAATCAGCAGTGTTAAAGTGTATTTACTCTAATAGAGTCATTATAACAACAGCTGGAGCAAAACGGCCCCCAGTGTGGGTGAAGATTCGTGGAGTTAACTTCATCTGGACTCGACTATTTCAACAGACTTTCTTCAGGTGTGAGTCTGTCACTGTTCACTCAACTATAGATGGTTCAAAAAGCACAGTTATTACTGGCTGCCAATCAGCTTCAGAAATTATTTTGCTGATTCTTTTAAGGGCTGCACAGTTTAGCACCTTCTTACCTGTCTGACCTTTTCACGAGATCACCAAGGTCTGCAGATGCTGTGCATTAAAATACTGTGACTGCTGACTTTAACTAATTTAATGTATGTACATGTAAATCTTCTGTATTTTTGGTGTGTAAAGATTGTAAACAGTGGTGCGTAAAATGTACTTGATTGATACACATTAAAATGAAACCACATTTTCCTTAATGATTAAATAAACCCATTTCAGCTCCTCAGGATTATTGCTTCCTGTTGACTGAGGGTGAAGGATCATTTGTTGAGTGTGTGAAACAAACTGCCTTTCACATCAGGACAACATTGGACACTTTTAAAATCTTTCTAAATGTCTTTTACTCGTCTAACTGTGGACGGTTTGGTTAACGGGGGCTGTTTCTTTAAACTTGACTTGGCAACAAAGGAAAACCAGCAGCTGAGGTCAGGACCCAAAACTCCATCTGCACCTGAATGTAAAAGCACATCAGAGCACAACAACTGGACCATTATGGCCTGTTAAGCTTCACTCATGTGCCTTTAATGTCTCCCACTGCTGTTGGGTGTGTCAGAGTTTAACACAAAGGCAAAATGAGTGAATCAACGACTCTCAACGACCCGATCAGATGAATGACTGCCGCCCTGCACCAGCTGTAGAGCCTTTGAGATCTGAGTTGAAGGGCTTCAGAAACTCAAGTCCAGTTGCCTCGTTTCAGCACAGTGTAGACCCAAATTCTCAAAATTATTTAACAGATTAATTAAATTATGTTTTAGAAGCTCTAATCAGCACATGTGACATCAGGCACCAAAAGAGGTCGGCGGTTTTTAAGGTTGACCTGTCGATCAACAGATGAAGGTGAGCTTTCATTCATTCTGTTGTCTAAAACAACTTCCTGCTCACATTAACACGTAGCTGAGGAAATGAAAT